AGTCTGTCTCTTAGCAAGCGATTCTGGCCTGACAATTACGTCCAGACTCATCAATACCTTTGCTTCCTTCTAGTATTGGTTTCTTTCTAGCTGTAACAGTCTTCTCGAAGAGATCCACAAACTTGTAAGTCCTTCAGCATTTGGATTTTCTTTCTCTTGCTGCGCTTAGATGAAACCCGGTAATCATCTACGAGGAAAGCCTATGGGGACAGCTACTAAATTAAGTCATCATGAAATATGTTGTAAACACTATGTTGACTTAACCTCCCTCCTCTCCCTGTACTATGCCATGTACCTTCTCAAACAGCAGATCCGCAATGTAGGTTCACCTTATGCTGGTGTGGAGCTCTATTCAAGCCTTTAAGGCTTAACTCAGCTAGGAATAAAAAAGAATTACCTGCAAGTTATTTGGGACTCCTGACAGCATGATTCCAGTTCCAGCAGCGCTTGCTAAATGGCACAATACTTCTGATTAGGCCTCGCGGGGGGATACCTCAGTGGATGCAGCACAGGATGAAGACCCTGAAGAGCTTAGTTCTACAGACAGCATTGCTACTGACTTGCCAAACAGATTTCAGCAAGACGTCTCCCCTTCACTACTCTTGGCTGTAAAGTGGGTGAGCTCTGAGATCTGTGTGGGAAGGACAGTGTGAGAACGAGGAATTACTTCTGTAGTACGAAGCATTAGTAACAACAGCAATAATGTCATCCTCTTCACAGGGGAAAAATCTGTCCCTGCCCATTCTGTCACAATCCAGTACAAAGGAAAAATTTGCTGAGATGTAGACTTTTGTATGGGACATGAAGTGGGCACAAGGAGGAAGTGATTCTAAGCCTTTGGGCATGGGAAAATTTCTTCTCAAGCAACAACTCCCAAGAAACTAAACATCATGTTATAAAAAACGAAGTCAAAATGGAAGTCCCCACTGTAAATTCAGCTCTTGGTATTTGCCAAAGACACGTGGGAATCCCTACCCCAAGGGAATGCTTGTTCCTGTGGAAAAGTGCAAATCCGTAGAGTTCACAACGAGGGGATTCACACAGACATGCATTCTACCTCAGTGATCAAACTCTACCTCTCAAGGTCTAATGAATTTCCACTGACCTCCTTTCTTACAGCTTAGTCTCCAGCTGGATTTCCTTCAACTATAAAAATGTATATAGTGTAATTAGCCAACCTCCACAGACTCTGTAGTTCATTTATGCATGCTAGGCAAGTCTCCCGCTGTGAGCAGCCCATCCAAAGAGAACTCTTTGAACTGGTCTATTGTTGTTCATGTAGCGTATTGCATTGTCCAATTTCATCATTCCTGGCAAGGCACCGCACTCCTGCAGCTTGCTACAGGAGGAGGAAAAGAGATGATGAAGCACTTTGTCCAGCTGCTGTGCCGGACATCTCAGATGTACAAATAAGCTTGCCTACCACTAGCTGTAGGACTCACCCAGTCAACACAGAGGCATTTGTTGACCAATTGTGCTTATAAGATCTTATCTGGAAGTACTCTCTAATCTAGTTAGCCATCTGGAGGACAAGGGACAGAAAAGAGAGTAAGGAAGGATCAGGTGAAAAAGAAAGATAAATAATAATAATAATATAATCAAGTCCATAGAGCAACACACCTTTACATAATATTCGCTGGAGTGTCAAATCTTGGCTTAAAGTACCATGTAAATAACACAACTGGGTCAACCAAAAGCATACTCAAGGCCACACAATGGTGTGCTACATTTTGCTACATTTAGAGGAGAATAATCCTAGAACTTAAACTCTGAGCAAACTTTCTTACCTTCAAATACTCACTGGCAAACTCTGAAATAAAGGAACCAAATGCTACAGAAAATGGGAAGCAAAGTTGTGTGTGTGATTTAAGACCCACCATTCACATTTCTCTTCTTTGTTTTTGATTAGGTACTGTTTTGGGTAGGAAAAGAGGGGGTCATACATCAAAAAAAAAGTGCTGCTTTGCTGTGCTCAAGAGGAAGAGACATTCCATTTTAGAACAAAGAATCTGGATTTTTTTCACATTGCTTCACTAAGAAGTTTTTGGAGGTTTTTCTTGGGGTGATGGGGGTGGAGTGTTTGGCTTTGCTATAATACAGCACATCAAAGCGCTTTTGATGTGAAGTTTACTTAACAGAATCAGTTTTTCCGATGATTGTGTTAATCTTTATAAACCTGAAGGCGATACTGTGCCTTTTAAAAAACTATAGCAGGAAAAGAGTTGAGGTTACATACACTCTCAGTGGTGAGAGACAGGAGCAGTTGTACTACTTTGCCTCTTCTTAAAACTACATCCATTCCTTCGTGGGCAGCAATGGCAGCAATCTTGACTTCATTCCCACTTGGGCTGGGAAGGCTCTGTTTGAATCACGCTCAGCCCTCACATAAGCACTTTCATATGTTTTCTCAGGTTAGAGCCACATTAGATTTCCGTGTCAATTTACACAGGGATTGGCTGAGAGGCAGCACAGAGGCCTGGAACCCAAACAAAAATCAGTGTTGATCTTAGGAAGGTACCCCCACTCCACTAATAGCCACTAATAGCTATCTTTAATTGCGTTATTTTGAGCACAGGCTCTTGTCCTCTCTTAAATCCTGCAAAACCAGCTTTGCCATCCACTCCTTGTCTTGAAGTATGGCTGTGAAAAGCTTCTGTTATGTCTGACGTGTTTACCTACAGCATTTGAATGACTTTTTAAGTTCTTTGAATAAAGATAAGAGACAATGTGTACATTTTCCACACAAATAGTGGAACGGTAATAAAATAAACATCAAAGGTAAGCTAGAAAATCATCACTACTTTGCTGCCATTTATAACAAAGGCAGGAAGAGGAAAAACCTACCCTCACCACTGGCATCATCTTAGAAAATACGAGTTTTGGAAGGAACGATGGCTTTTTCCCATACCCTTAAAAACAAACATTGGCACCTACAGCTAACGCAGAGCTTCACTGAAAGATCTCAGTTTACACTGCAAGGAGAGAACAACAAGAAGCCAACCAAGAGAGGTCTCCCTCCTCTTAGTTTTATTGCTCAATTGCTCGTTTTTCTCAACTGGTACAGCTTTAGTGGGGGAGGCATCAAACCCATTATTAAAATTAGAAAGGGTACAACCAAAAGGACAGGAGGATCTCTTTTTGTTTAGAATTTAAGACCCACATTAGGCCAAAAAAAAAAAAAAAAAAAAAAAAGGCAAAGCTTTGAAACGTTGTGCAGGTGTGTGTGGGAATGTTTCTTCTATTCAAGAGATGGGGAACGAAAGTAGTGCCATTTGTTTCTTCTGAGGGTCTTTCAAATCTGCCTTCTTTTAAGTTCCTCCCCAGCATGCCTTGGCAGCTGGAGCACAGCATAGTCCTAGCCAGAGTGATGCTTCATTTTGGAGCATTTATCCTAAAATAAAGGCTGAATCAGACAGACTGCTTTTGGAAAACATGGAGCAATCCAACTCTTACTCCAAGACACAACATTCAAAGTGTCCGTAAGAGAAATAGAATAGAAGCATCACACTGGATTTCTGCTGATGTTTTTGTTTTGGTATTGTTTTGCAGATGCCAGCTCTACAGCTGTATGGAGTTGAACAGGGCTTTGCAATTGACTTCAAATGGACAGCAGAGTAGGACTGAAGTTTTTAGTGGAGTCTCACTTTCAGTGTTGAGGCATTCCGTCCAGCTCTGCTGGAGGGGACTGAACATCTGCCTTCAGAAAGGGGCAGAAGACCAAGGTTAGTGCAAAGCTGAAAGCAAACAGAACAATCGTGATTATTTTGTCTCGAAAGAAAAGCAGCTAGGTAAAATTACAGAGTGTCCTGGGTTTTATGGAAAATTTATAGTCTCAGTGTTATGAAAACGTTAAAGCAAAGTCGCTTTAAAAAAAAAAAAAAACAACTCAATAAAAGATTTTATTGGAGAGCGACAGCTCTAACACTGCAGACATGCCATCGGAAGACATCAAGCGACGGTGCTTCACGCACAGCAGCACGCTCAAAGCCAAGGGCAAAGCTGTGGCAGCCTCTCCCTTCGCGCGGCGCTGCCTACCTGCTCCCACCTCGCCCTCCACCCTGGTTATGACGGCAGCGGAGAGGGGCAGAGACTGTCAGCCCACATAAACCGTGAGGGATCCCCGGTTGAGGAGCGGCGCGGTGTTCCGACAGGTTGTTGCGCTGTCACATTGCAACTCGCTGCTCTGCGCAGCGCTTGGAGCACAGATCGCGGCGCGGCAGGTTCTGCTCTGCCACCTATGAGCCGCTCCGCATGCTGCACCTGGAGCAGGGCTGGAGCTCCAGATCCCATCGAGCTCTGCTCTGCTCGGAGTGCCCGGCATGGAGGAGGCATCTGGAAGGAGAAAATACACACGCGTTTCTAAAAAAAAAAAAAAAAAGCAGAAAAAAAAAAAAAACTTTCCAACCAGACCTCGCTGTCATCTGGGCTAATTTCGGCTCTGATACGGCTATTAGGGCATACCCACCTTTGCTACCTTGCTTCCCCACCCACCACCCTTTCAGATCTCCGTCCTGGCTCCGCCTCTCGCCGGCGTTATAATGGGCTGGTCTGAAAGTGGTGGAGAGACGCAGAACCACAGGGGAAGAGGGAGATAATGACAATAACCCCAATAACCCCCGTCACCCGGCTGCTGCCCGCGCCGCTGCGAGGAACCGAGCACTGACGGGGAGAACCCGAACGGCAAGAGGAGACTCCGGCGTCTCCCGGAGCATCGCCGGACGGGAGCAGCGGAGCGCCCCGAGGAGCACCGGGCACCACCGGGGGAGGCGGAGAGGAGAGACTCCGGTCCGACCCCATGGAGCCGGCGGCGTGACGAGGCGGGGGAGCCCTTCGCTGCAGGAGGAGGAGGACGCGGAGGTGGCAGCCGGAGCAGCCGCCGCCGCGGAGCTGTCCAAGCGGCAGCGGAGGCAGAGCCGCCCCTCCCGCCCCCCTCGGGGCCGCGCCGAGGGGCGGGGGTCGCCGGGCCGAGCAGCGGGGCGCGTGGGGGCCGCGCCGCCGCCATGAAGCTGGAGGTGTTCTCGCAGCACTACGAGGACAAGCTGAACGCCGGCAGCGATCAGGAAGGCAGCGGCTCGCTCTCCCCGGCGCCGGCCGATAGCGAGCTGGGATCGGACGGGGACTGCGCTGCCAACAGCCCGGGCGGCAGCACCGGCAGCTCCGGGCGGCCCCTGCCGCCGACCCCAGCCCCGCAGCCGCCGCAGCCGCCGCCGCCGCCGGCTCCGGCCGAGGGAGGCAAGGGGAAGCCGTACACGCGGCGGCCCAAGCCGCCCTACTCGTACATCGCGCTGATCGCCATGGCCATCCGCGACTCTGCCGGGGGCCGCCTGACCCTGGCCGAGATCAACGACTACCTGATGAGCCGCTTCCCCTTCTTCCGCGGCGCCTATACGGGCTGGCGCAACTCGGTGCGCCACAACCTCTCTCTCAACGACTGCTTCGTCAAAGTGCTGCGCGACCCGGCGCGGCCCTGGGGCAAGGACAACTACTGGATGCTCAACCCCAGCAGCGAGTACACCTTCGCCGACGGCGTCTTCCGCCGCCGCCGCAAGCGCCTGAGCCGCGCCGCCCCGCCGCCGCCGCCGCCGTCCGCCCGCCCAGCCGCCGCCGCCCCTCAGCCGCCGCCGCAGCCGCCGCAGGAGGCGGCCGGAGCGGGCGCCGCGTCCCCCGCCGCTACCGAGCAGGAGGAGGAGGAGGCGGCAGTGGGCGGCGGCGGGGCGGCAGGCGGCGGCGCCGCGGTCTCCAGCTCTTTCGCCATCGAGAGCCTCCTCCGGCGGCCGGCCGGGCCCCGCGCCGCCCCGCAGCCCCCGCCGCCCGCCCGCTTCGTGTGGCCGCCTCCCGCCGCCCCGCACCTGCTGCCCGCTCATCACTACCCGCTGCTCCCTTACGCTCAGCCCTCGCCGCCCGCGGCCGCTCTCTACAGCGGGGGCCTGGTGCAGCTGTGCGCCTACGGGCTGGGCGAGCCGCCGCTGCTGCTGGGCGGCCCCCAGGGGCAGCCGCCGGCGGAGCGCTCGCGGGCACCGCTCTTCGCCGGGGCCGCGCTCCCCGGGGGATCCCCGACCTACATCCCGCTCCGGGCGCCGCGGCCGGGGAGCTCGGCCCCGTTCCGCCCGTACGCCGTGGAAACCCCCCTGGCGTAACGCAGCAGAGGGCAGGGAGCTCTGGATCCCGCACTTTAACTCCCAAAGCCTCCGGGCGGACGCCTCGGTGACTGTGCCTTAAAGAAGTGACGGCGGGCATCACTTCGAACCAAGCCAAAAAAACTGCACTCCGGGACATAGCCATAAGCCTCAAGTGCTTCTTACTGTGCGCTGGGACCGCTCCGCTACTGCCTTCCTCTCTCCGCCTCTCGGGGGCTGCACTGCTCACCGGGAGCGGGCGCGGGGAGGGGGAGGTTGGGCGGGGGCTGCTGCGGGGCCGTAGGTCCGTGCCGCAACGCCGCGCATCACTGTGCCAAAACAAACCCCCTTTCCCCCCCCCCGCCCGGCACCCAACATCTCGTGGAAAAAGAGGACATTAAGTTATTTATAAAAGCAGTGTTTTTCACACGAGGAGAGTGCCGCTTTTTTAATTAATTATTGGTGGGGGGGTGCGGAGAGGGGTGTAGAAGAGCGCCGTCACCTGCGCCGTACACCCAATGCCGTGCCCTCTACTGCTTGGAAACAACGATTCCTTTCGTATTTTATTTTTTGTGTTTGTATATAATAGATGTGCGTGTGCCCGGCGCCTCCGCTGCCTTTTTATTATTACTACTTTGGCGAAGGACAGCGGACGTAACCCAGTTGTCATCTCCGAGAGCAAGGCAAAGGAGCGGGCTCCGGCTGCCGGAGAGACGAAATCTCAGCGCCGGGACTCAATAGGAGTGTCGGCGGTGACAGAATACGTTCAGCCCTCGGCTGCTCCCAAAGCCCGATCTATTCGGGCTGCTCAGCACCGCCACGAGAGATAGGGGTAGCTTCAGAAAGACGGAGCTGGGAATAGTAGAGGGTGGGTTTCAGTGCCCGGGGAAATCGGGTAAGGAGTTATTACATCCCCCAACTCAGAGCGCTTCTCTTTTTTTCAATTATCATTTTCTTTTTCTTTTTTTTTTTTTTTTTTTTTTTTTTTTAAAGCTCTGAAATGGTCATTTGGGGTAGGTCTGCTTGTTCTCATAATAGTAATAATAAAAAGGACGAAAAACGACAAGCTTTCTTTCCCCTGACTCTTCTGTAACCATCACCCAAACGAACGCTGAAGGAGAATTGGGAGTGCGGGCTGATTTCTAATCATACCTCGGTCTTTCTCCCCACCTGCTCTGCCTCCAGCGCAGTAGCTCAGCCTTCACCCCTCTCCTTCCCCACCCGCAAACAGTGCACAGAGAGCGGAGGTGTGCTCGGAGCGTGGCTCTTCCAGCAGAGCACACAGCGGGAGGAACCCCCGAGCCGCTTCCATCCAGCTCCAGCCGATTTCACGGCGCGTTTAACTCAGACCGTGACATCCATCAGAACATTGCGAGAGATTAGTGACTAATGGATTAAGTAATCCAACCCTTGAAGGAATTGGTTTTTATGTACGCGCGCACACACACACACGTTTGGTATTTCGACATCATTGCGCCTTCAAGGCTCTGTGCAAATACCCATTAGCCCTCCTATAGACGATCCTTTCCCCTTTCTTTATAGAGGTGCTCAGAGAGAAACTGCTGGTCTTCTTCGGTTCCGTCCATCTGCAATAGTCTTCATTCGTGGTATTGAGTGAACGGGGAGTTTGTAACCTCAGTCATAAGCACATATTTAATTGGATGTATACAAGTGTGCATACAGATGGAGATTAGTCATAAATTTAAGAGGATGACATTTGGGTGTGCCTTCGAGAAAAGCTCCTATTTATAAAAAATAATAATAACCCAGTCTTAAAAGGAAAAGAAGCTCATAGGTCACGAATCTCAGAGATAAGACCCATGGAGAATCGATGGGTAGCATCACTTCCCCCTCCAAGGAAGAACCCCAAAGAGGGGACAGGGGGCTGGGACAGTCTGCTCTCAATCAGATGGATTTATGAGGGTAGGGAAAAGGAAGGCAGCAGGGTCCTGGCCCAGATGCTCTCAGCACAACCAGCACTGCCCAGAGCCAGGGCAACCTCAATACAAGGCATTGCCATCAGTGTGAGCTGGCAGCTGTGACAGACAGGCACTGAAACACAGCACCTGTCCAAACACTTCCAGCAGCAGGTAACCAGAGAACCCACACTTTACATTTTTGTGCAGAACAAGCAAATTAACCGTTTCACACACCTTCCCCAAACAGCCAGGTTTGTATGGCCAGGCACTTTGTCTTCCTTAACATCTAATAAATCAGGGTGACAGAACAGAGAAAAAGCCTTTCTCCTTTTGATATTTGACACATCAGCAGTAAGCCAATACCTTTGTGCCCTGTTCTTCCACCCCCACAAGGGGCTGCATTGCCCACCCAACATATCCGAGGGCTCATCAGGTGGGTACAGGTCAGCATACAAGGTTGAAATTCACACATTGTATAGGCAGACCTGGTTTCAGGGCCACAGAAAGCCTGATGGAAGAGGAAGCATCCCATTTTCATCTGCATTTTCATCACTGTGTGTGCAAAAACTGCCACATGGGGAACAGTCAGCATAGGAGGGTTGTGAAAGCCTCCACTTGAGTACAGCTGCACCTGAATTCTAAACCAGAGCAACTTTGGGGTTTAACTGCATTGCTTTATAAGAGATACTGCTTTCCAAATAAATACATTGTTTCTGACTGTTAAAGCTCTTTCACATTATGGTTTCTCTAATACAGTTTTACCATGTTTTAGAAGGGGAAAAAAAGCCTCACTCAACATCCAGAGTATTCCCAACAAATATTTTTGGTGGCTTCTCCCCCCGCCTCCACCCCCACACTCTCTAGTAGGTAGTTGTTAGAAACAGTTACTTGAATCACATTGGTCCTAATTACTTTCCTAAGTCTCTTCAAATTTTAACTTACTGAGCAGCATAAGCTCCTACTCTGTGGATTGAGCCCAAATGTAAAGGAAATGTTTAAGAAGAACTTTATGCACTTTGAGGTTTAATAGATGCTAAACACAAATTCACTGGGGGGGGGGGGGGGAAGGCCTGCTTAGAACCCACACAGCAGGAAGATACAACAATACTCCCTTATATTCCCCCTTATAGTGGATGCTAAGAGGTTTACTCCTTTACCTCACTGGAGAGACATCAGTAGGGCAGCCCTTTAATTGTGTTATTTTCCCATCAGATTAATTCACCCTATTCACCAGCCACATCTAGTGAAACCTGAAACTTGCTTTCAGCTCCTACAACCAATGACCTATAAGATAGGATGAATACCCCTTCGATATCACTAACCCTCTCAGGAAGTAGCCTACTGAAGTTAGGCACTTCATTCACAAGCCATCTCCACACAGTAGTGCTAGCTACAGGACTCAGTTCAACCCTGATCTCCAGACAAAGCCCCCATCTGAAAACACAGCCCTTGGTACCAGCCTAATCTCACACTGAAAGGACTGAAAGAGGGTGAGTGCAACTTCATTTCAGGACCTCCTCCAGTTTTTCTGTTACACTTTTTCAGAAGGGTGTTTCTTAGTGGCAGGATGTATCCAAGCACAGAACCCTTAACAAAGAGAACCTTTATCCCACTAAACAGGCACACAGAACACTTGGGTTCACACCATGGCTCAAGAAGTCATAGAATCATAGAATAACCAAGGTTGGAAAAGGCCTCTAAGATCATTTAGTCCAACCATTCACCAACCACCAATATTTCCCCACTAAACCAAATCCAAGGTGAAATTTCCTACACGAGAGCAAGGAGACAACCACAGTCCTATACAGAAGGGTAGAGCTTCCCAACTGAAGCCCAGATTTTGCACAATTCTTCATTGAGCTGGGGGAAACTTTTCACATAATAACAGACAAGAGAGTTCATTTATTGTGCCAAGCTTTTTGCCTTTTAAGTCTGAAGGAGACATAAGACCAAAGTGAAATCCACCTCCAGACAAATACAATATGCTAAAGGTGTGATTTGGGCAAGGGTGATTTTACCGTGTTGCAACTTTGCTAGGTACTGCAATAGCTCTTTAATAATGGTTCCATCTTTCATATATGTTCTGGAAAGGAAAGGTTTTCTCCTTGAATAAACCATCTTGACTTCATCGATGCTCTCAGAAGTCTCAAAACCAGCTTCAGAAGAGACACTGATGAAGCCCGTATCACTTAACATAAAATCAGATGGCAGGAGAGAGCCTGACCTTCCCTGGACATTCAAACCAGTATTAACACGTCATTATTTAAGATATTCAGATTGCCACTTTCAAAAAGCTAGTAATTTATGTAGTCTACAGCCTTGCATAGGAGCTAAACTTTGTTATTGCCTTCAGGAAGTTTAACCTCTGTACACCTGGATAGACCAGGCCTTTGTCCTCTTTTCTAGAGCCAGAGGGGTTTTGCATAAGGAAGGATTGTGAATACAGGCTGTCATAGTGTTTGTGCTCTTGCACCACGGTATTGTTTTCTTTGTTATGACATGTTTCAAAATTTCTGAGCTCTTTCAAGCAGGATGGCATACTAATAGCCTCTTTGCTATGGGGAAAAGCAATGCTTCTGTGGGTTCTTTATTTAATAGCAGAGCAGAGACTATTCAGACAGTACAAATCTCTTCTTCAGGATGATGTATGAGTAGAGTATGTGGCACTATTAGACTGAAATGGTTCAAGGACTGTCGGATAGAAAAGCATGCAAGGGAAAAGAGAGGTTGACACCTCATTTTCCAGATTCCACTGTCATTATTTTCTATCATAGCTATTCATTGAGTACATGTTTACAAGCAGTATATAGGGGTTCCCTGATGTTTTGTAAGCGTAATTTAGCTGTTTTAGGGTCCAGTAGGTTTATTTTAGCTGTGTTTGAACTACAGTTGTTATTTCAGTCTTACTCCATTACTATGTTACCTTAAAATAACATCTGACAACCAACTGGTAACCCTTCCTAAATAATATATTTCTTGTGATCCTCACTATTACTAAAGCGTTTCTAGTCTGGTGTGGAGAACCAACGCTAATAAACATCATGTCAGAGACAAACTGTGCTTAACTACTAGTATTCTGTGACTCCACGAGGTATCCCAGGC